CTTTTTTGGGGAGGGCATGAACCGCCATTGACAAAAATGTTACTCCCGACCACCTAGGGATCCTATGGTTCCCTAGGGATACCTTAGAAAAATGACCAAAAGTCACAATTTTCACTTGCGTTTTTGAAAAAGGTTGAATATTCACTTGCACGGGACATTTTATATACCCTTGATAACAAAAGAGGTGCCTGCCCCTCTTTCCCGGCAACACAGAAAGGAGAATTCTACTTAGTAAGGGTTATAATCCCTAAGCGCGGCCGAAGGCCGCCAACGCAGAAATGAGTTAAGTGCAAAAATACTTTGGATACCGAAGCCGGAATAATATCCACAAGAAATGTTATAGACTTTTGACGAAGAGAGGGGTTCCTCCCGTGTACAAGATAACTCGAGCAAAAATTGATATATCTCAACGAAATTCGGTATGTAGGTTTCCGTTAATCCAAGGTAGGTTCGTAAGGTAGGTTGGTATTGAAAATGGGCGAAATCGGACTGTAACCACGCCCACTTCCCATACAACGGTAATTTAGAGAAATACAAAATCTTCGATAAATCAGGAAATATTAAAGCTAATTTATTCAAAATTGATGCTTGCAACAACTCTTTACCAAAAAATACCCTTATGGTAAAATTTAGGAAAATGGGCGTGGCACCGCCCACTTATGATCACATATATGTATCTCGGTAACCGTTTTACTAATTTATACCAAACTCGGTACAGTTATTGTGCTTGCCACATAAAAGCAAAACGTGGAAAATTATTGAAATCGGACTAAAATTACGACCGCTTTTCATATAACGGTAAATTTCAGAAATGCTGGAAACTGCAATATTTCGAAATTTAAGGACGCTAATTTACTCAAAATTGATACACCCCGGCTTACCATCTAGCGGTAGCTTTCGGAAAGTGAAAAAACATATATTTAAGCACAAAATGTGGATACTAATTATGTCAGTTTCAAAATAAATAAATATGTATCTACATTAGAGTGGCCCAAAAGATTTTTTTCGGAGATACAATTTGGGGCACCTTCCAAAATGTTTTCTATTGCCGAAAGAGGTGAAACTCTGCGTTTCTAAGTATAAATTTAGAAGATGCTCCTGATGCTCATATTTTACTCTAGATGTATTGTTTGCATATATTAATCAAAGAATTGGTTAAGCATCCTAAGTACATTTTAAATTTATGGCGATTTCGTTTCTACAAAAAATGTTGCCTTCTCATCGCCCTCTTCTTAGTGTTTGTATGAGCAGGTCAAAGAGAAGGTTGCATTTTTCGGTAGAAAAGAAATCGGCATTAAATTATCTAAAAAAAATGCGTGTGTAACACCGTACCCATGATAGAAGTGAAACTTCTTAAAAAAGGTGTGAGTACCAGGTACCTACTCACGAAATAGATGTGTAAACATATGTTTACGGTTCGGCAAACCATTAGGCGATTGAGTTACATACATAGGTTTGGTTAGAAATCAAACAACAATTTCATTTCATCTTATTAATTTTCTGATGTACATATAATTTATTTATTCATTTTCCGGTAAAACCACCTTATATGAATTCGCGCTTCAAGCATCCATAGGAGCGGGTTGTAATGGAAGTAATTCTATGTTTAACAAATAAATGAAAATGTTTGAAATGCAATCAATTGATCCTTACGAATTTGCAATTACCAAGGCACTAAGTAACGTACGCACTTTTGTTTGCAAAATGCATTTATTTAAGTTGAAAGAAGACAAATTCCTTTGTTCGGTATTTACTCTTACTCGCTTTCTATCTTCCAAGGTGAATTCATATATTCTTATCACGAATTCATATATGTATTCATGTGGTAGCAAGAGTATAAAAACATAAAATTACCTTATAAATTAAAAGCATAAGTATCACATGTATCCGTAGTCCAATTCACGAAATCATTTCATCGATCTGAGTAAAAACTAATTGCATAAACTCTATTTCGCGTTAATTGTAATCATAAAATGGCGTTCATTCATTCAGTTTCTACTCAAACGCATGAAATTATTTCATAAATTGGCCTACGCATAATGGTAGTAAATGACAGAATGAATTACAACAAACACATCCTTTTGACATAATGCAAGCCGAAAACGTTGGTTCAAATCAATTCGCAATCAAGTTGGACGTTTTGCCCACAAACATTGCAATTTTGCGAGCAGTCTCATTGTAAAATCTAATTTTTACAATTTCATAGTTTCAGCTTACATTTATAAATTCAACGAAAGCTCGTACCTGTTTCGGCTGAGTTATCCATTTTCGGTTATTTAGTGTACAAAATAAATGCAAATTAAATGAGTTTGTACAACATGGCCATTAATGTAGCGATAAGTTGTACAACTTGCCAGAAAATCCAAAGTTTTTGATCTTTCATAAAACCAAGACATAAATTCATTCAACAGGCCCACAAACGGTGCAATCTAGAGCAAAATAACACCGAGTTGAACCAACGGTCGCTACGTTTATGGCTTTCTTTAAGAAACATCGGGCGAAAATTTCAACTGCTCCTGTAACACTACCTTATATAAGTTGGCCTTGCTATCATCCTCACATATGTTCATCAGAGTATACCAACGAAGGACGAGTTAATACAAGGAGAAAGCGAGAGCACAAAACTACTCTAGAAAATTACACGCATAATGACAAACACAATCAGTACAGTTCGCATTTATATCAACGAGCAGCTTATTGGATTTGTTTTCGTTTGTACTACATACACAAGAATGATAGAATACAAGATTGCGCCAATCGAGCTGAGGGCAACTGGTCGTGACTTCAAAATATACCATAATGAGAGAGCAAGACGAACTCGACAAGAAAAAGAGGAAGCATCGACCAAAGGCAGTGTTGCCAAGTATTGAATTTGGAAAAGCACCAAATTTTTATTGGTGTATTTTAGGGACTTTATATGAATACATAATTTTATTGTAAGGATGCCGCTTCAAA